TTTGAGAAAAGATTGAAGTTGTCAACAATTTCCTTTTACTTAAAGCCACAATAAACACTCATAGTAGTAGCTATAAAAAATAACTGGGAAAATATGTCGAATGCTAAAGAGTAAAGACATCAATTTAAAGACTAAGATGTGCCTGACTCAAGCCAGAGTAATTTAAATTGCTTCCTTAGAGGGAGCTCTGGTGGCCTAGTGGTAAGAAGTTGCCCTACAATCCCAAAGGCATGCAGTTAGAATCCACAAACTGCTCTGCAGGACAAGGGATTAGCTGCCTCTGAAAACCTGCTAGAGAACTGGTGCTGTTTGGTTCAGGCTCAACAGCACAAACAGCAACAACCATGTGGTCTAGTGTTAAGGAGTTGCACTGGCAACACAGAGGTACATGGTTTGGATCAACCAGCTTTTCTAACGGAAAAATATGGGCAATCTCTTCTCATATGCTTTCCTGACACTGAAAACCCATTCAGGTGTCAGCTGTGGGTTGGTTCCAACTCAACAGTACACAGCATCAATGACACACAAGTTGAACAGTGAAAAAGGAGAACCAAAGAACAATTGTTGTCTTTTAATTGTTTAAGAGTGTTGAATAGGCCATGGATTGCCAAAAGAACAGAGAAACCTGTGTTGGAAAAAGTACAACCAAGGTGCTACTTAATGGCACAGAGAGCGAAACTTTCTCTTGCTTTGGAGATCACACTTTGGATACGTCATTAGAAAGAGCCAGTCCTTGGAAAAAGACTTCATGCTGGGAAAGGTGAATTCAGGATCTGAAAAAGACAGGAAGATTTTCAAAGAGATAGGCTGACAGAGTGAATGTATCAAGGGACTTGAACATTGTAGACATCATGAGGGTGGCACAGAATAGGGCAAAGTTCCAATTTGTTGTTGTTCATTGGGTCACTGTGGCTTGTGGTTGACTCACTGGCACCTAACAACAATAACTACAACATAGTATTCTCTCTTCTTTTATCATTGTCTTTATAAAAGGTTTTTAAACACTCACCTACATACAATATTTTGTAAATCCAGATTTGAAGCTCTTTCTCTGTTGCCCTTTCAGAATCTAGCCACGCTCAACCTCGGATCTACTGTTCATGAGCTACAGTCTATTTGATGACACCTAACAACAACAACAGATGACTCATTTGGTAGTGGCTACAAGTGCTTCATATTGTCAACTATTGCCATAGGGTGTGCATAATTTCCTGGATTTATGTGGTTTCACAATGTGAGGTGAGTATTTCAGGTAGGAAGTTTCCCCATGCACTTACTTCACTGTTATAAACTATAGGTCTTCCTTAAAGTGTCTCTTATTGATCCGATCACTCCTTCAGGGAGAGGATGGGTGTCGTTAATAATCAAATGTGCAATTGGTCTCCATTTGAGACTTCCCATGTGAAAATGAAAAGTTCCCTGCTGCAATGTGTACTTTGCAAATTGATGTCATCCTGGCACGAAGCTGTATCCTTCTGAACAGGCTTCGTAGATAAACACTCATGTACTGCCCTCTTGAAATGAGCTGGCTCGAGAATAAGATAAGAAACAAGAAACTAAGCAATGGGTGGAAATAAAGACAAGGACTTGGATGGGACACTGAGGGAGCTCCGGAACCAGAAATTAGAAACACAACGAAAGCTAAATGAAGAGATAGGATAGGATTCCTGGCTCTTGCTCTCACTATGACAGGTATTTTCATATACTTGCTTCCACGTTGTCTTCATAACTTAGCCTATAACTTCGGCTCAGAGAGATTAAATGATTGCTCTGAGATCACATAATGGACAAGAAGAGAAAGTATATGCATTCTTCTCACCGTTCTAAGACAAGGGCTTCAATTTGCTAGTTGAATGAAGCACAAATTTTAACTACTTAAACAGAAAATATCACTATATAGGTATTTAGGACCTTGACTTTAGCAGACTCTCACTTCTCTGCCTAAATGTAGTTATAAATACCCTAAGAAGAATGTGCAGAAATGCACATGGTTTGAATCCACCAGCTGTTCCATGGGAGAAGGATGGGCAGTCTCCTCCCGTGTGACTAACTGCCTCTGAAAGGTTGGCTATGGGTCTGTTCTGACTCTACAATACACAACAACAACTACAGGAAGAGTTACAATATACAAACTATAAACCTCAACATCAAGAAAACAAAGATCCCCATATCTGGGACAAAATGCAACATCATGATAGATGGAGAAAAGATTAGAACTATAAAAATATTTATTTACTTGTATCTGTAATCAATACCCATGGTGGCAGCAGTCAAGAAATTGAAAGAAATACTGCATTGGGAAAATCTGCTGGCAAGAATCTCTTTGAAGTGCTAAAGAGCAAGGGTATCAGTTTAAAGACTGAGGTGCACCTGATCCAAGCCATGGTTGTTTTGATGTTGTTATTGTTTTCAGTTACTTCATATGCATCTGAAAATCGAACAATGAATAAGGAAGACTGGAAAAGAATCAATGCCTTTGGATTGCGCTGCCAATAAAGAATATTGGGTATTCCATGAAATGTCAAAAGGACAAACCGACCTGTTTTGGAGGAAATGGAATCAGGATGCTTGTTAGAGGTAAGGATGGTGAAATATCCTCTCGTATACTTTGGATATGTGGTCAGGAGGCCCCAGTCCTTGACAAAAAGACATCCTGCTGCAAAGACAGAGAGAGTCAGCAAAAGAAAGGAAGACCCTCAAGGAGATTGGTTGTCACAGTGACCACAATAATAAGCTTGAGCGTAGCAGAAATTGGAGGGCTAGCAAAGGATAGGGCAAAGTCCCAGTCTGTTCTTTATAGAGTTTTTTTGAGTCATAGTGTTGACATAACAGTTAATCAAAAGATTGGCAGTTGGAGTTCCTGGGGCACTCTGAAATAAGGGCTTGATGCACCACTTACAAATCTTCAACTATTTGGAAAAGTAAAGGCACCATACCCAAATATTCAGCTATATTGAGCACTCTGTGGAGAAGTTTTACTCTGAGATATACGGGGTTGTTATGAGTCAGTGGTGACTCAACAGCAAGTACTTTGTGGGCTAAATCACTTGGTGGGGATTAGTTCTTGTTGAGCTGAGGAGAGAAGGTGATTGAATAAGAAAAGGAAAAGGCAAGGAGGAGAAGGAAGCAAGGAATGGGAAGAAGAATCAAAGGAGAAGCCAATTGTTTCAAGGTGGGGGAAACCAGAGCTAAGAGTAGATTGGACTAAGTGCTTTAGTTCTACGTCATTTGTGTCTGGTGGGCACTGGTTCAGATGGCTGGTCATCCATGTATATTGCTGGCTTAACCTCACTGATGAAGAAGGGAGAAAAAAGGAGGGTAGATCTGACAAGTCCAACTTGTTAAGATCTTGGACCCAAAAGAAAGTCCCCCTTTCTGTAGATATTGATAATGGTTGTACTAGGAAAACCTTTTCCTATACGGTGAGGCTCATGTTCTGAAACCACCATGATTCCTCTCTCCATGAACCCCTGAGCAACCTTTCTCATAGTCTGTACATAAAGGAATTTAATCATCTCAAAATAAGGTTGACTTTCTAAATCACTTGAGTTAGTTCACTAAGATTTCCCATTTTCACATATAAAGTAAAAAAAAAAATCACTTTTTTCCCCCTCCAGGCCTTGATGTTGTGCATTATTCGGTACTTAGAATAATTGTAGCTATAAACACCATCAACAGTTGATAGGTGAGAAGAAAAATTAATCACCACTGCCGTCCCACGCACACACATTTCACTCACACCATCTAACACGTGAAACAAGGCCTGAAGGTGGACTTGGGTTGTGCGTCATCGTGCCATTCTTATCTGAAGAAGTAAATTTCCAGGCAGGCTGTTTTTGTAGCATCTAATTACAGAACATCAGAATGCCCAGAGGTGAACTGAATTATTGGGAGGGAAAAAAAGAAATAAAACAAAGAGGGCACAGAAAGCTATTTTATGTGTTCACAATAAATTCAACAAACACAAAGGTAATGAGAAATACAAGCATTTAATTCTGAAGACAACTAGCCCCCTTGGTAACCCTTGGAAAAAATTGCTGCTTATTCTCCAAAGGTTCTGCAAGATTGGGTAATTATGTTAAAGAAAGGCCAAAAGCAGAGAGCAGAGTGCAAGCTCTCAAAAGCAAGATATGTGCAGCCAGGTTAAAGTTTAAGCAATTTATCTACTGAAACTGTTGTCTGCTTCTGTATAAAAGGTGGGTTATTGTTTTCTACCCAAATTATTCCAGCTCTTTAAGAGAAAGGGGTCTGGAGTGCAGAGGCGTATAGCCTATGAGACACAGTAAAGTGAGGATGAGGAGGATGGGGTGATGTGATTGGCAGGATTCACAATCCTGGGCCGCTTGGCTTTTGACCCGAGGTTCTTTCCTTTAAGTTATAACAACTTTCGAGACATTATGAAAAATACTGAAAAGTCTTCTCTCAGTATTAAAAACTAACTTTCAAACTCAGGGATCAACATAATCATAACATAATATTTGTGTATTCCAGATGAAGATTTGCTCTCTAGACCAAATTAAATATTGAATGAAAATGTCTTGCCGTTACAAATGCAGAGTAGGAACGAGGCACATTCAGTTACACATCTCAATCTCCTTCCTTAAAACACATCGTGAATCTATCACAAAGAAGGTTTGAATGTTCCATGTTCTTGTTCACTAAGAATAATAGTATCATCCGAAGTGAAGCATTTCAAAGTGCTGTTTTTTATGACTTCTCCTTCTCTCAGATATAAGCACCGTTTTGGAGAATAGACAGAACCAAAAGCTGTCAAACCGAAATAGTCATGATGATCACCATAATTCTTCCATTCCCAACAAGAGTGACGAGGTAAATGAACAAAAATATCAGAAAGAGGGGAACCTGAAGTTTAGGGTCATGTGTTAATCCCAAGAGGATGAATTCTGTTGCTTCAGTTCTGTTCTCCATTGAGATGAACTTGACTTTAATCTGTAGTACCTCAAATCTTAGAGAAGATTTCCCCCTCCATCATCTTCTGACTACTTCCCACGCACGCTTAAAGACTGGGGGTAAAGTTGGTTGAGTATTTTCCAGAGAGCACTTTTCACTTCTTTGTTCCTAAGACTGTAAATCAAGGGATTCAGCATGAGGATCACCACGGTGTAAAACACAGATGCTATTTTGTCTGTGTCCATGGACTGGCCAGAGCTGGGCTGCAGGTACATGAAGATGATAGTGCCGTAGAAGATGGAGATGGCAGTGAGGTGGGAGGCACAAGTGGAGAAGGCTTTCTTCCGGCCTTCAGCTGAGCGCATCCTTTGAACGGCAATGTATATGAAGAAGTAAGAGATTAGGATGACTATGAGGGTGAAAAAAACATTGAAGCCCACAACAAAGAAGACCACCAGCTTGCTGGTGTGTGTGTTGGAGCATGAGAGGGCCAGGAGTGGTGGGATGTCACAGAAAAAATGATGGATCTCATTCGAACCACAGAAGGAGAGTCTGAAGGTGTCTGCTGCATGGATGGTGGCATTGACGAAGCCACAGACGTAGGACCCAGCGGTCAGGAAGGCACACACACCTACTGTCATGGTGGTGGTATAGTGAAGAGGTCTGCACACTGCTGCATGGCGGTCATAGGCCATGGAAGCCAGAAGGTAACACTCAACAGTGGCAAAGCCCACGAAGAAAAAGAACTGAGCAGCACATCCATTGTAGGAAATTACTTTGTTCCCCGACTGTAATGCCGCCACCATCTTGGGCGCCACAGCAGTTGAGTAACCCAGATCCACAAAGGAGAGGTTACTGAGAAAGAAGTACATTGGAGTGTGGAGATGAGAGTCCAAGTAGATGATCACCATCATTCCTCCATTCCCAACAAGAGTGACGAGGTAAATGAGCAAAAATATCAGAAAGAGGGGAACCTGAAGTTTAGGGTCATCTGTTAATCCCAAGAGGATGAATTCTGTTGCTTCAGTGTTGTTCTCCATTGAGATGAACTTGACTTTAACCTCTAGTGGCTCAAAAGAAAAAAGGAGATGAAAGTCTAAGTGGGATGATGACATGATTTGAAAATATGACACTTAACAATACCACCACACACCAGGTACCTCTTGAAGAGCGTTGGTGTTGTTGTTGTTGTTATTGCTATTGTTGTCGTATGCCATCAAGTCAAAACTGACCCATAGTTTACTGTCCAGCAGGTTTTCAGAGGCAGTTACTCACGTTGGAGGAGATTGCCCATCCTTCTCCCTTGGGGTGCAGTTTCTTGCCACTAGGCCACCAGTGCTCCGTTCAGGAGTTTTACACGTAGGTAACTCATTTAATTCTAATACCCATTCTCTGAGGAGCTCTGGTGGCCTAGTGGTAGGAAAATGCGCTGCAATCCCAAAGGCAGGCAGTTTGAATCCACCAGCTGCTCCACGAGAGAAGGATGGGCAATCTCCTCCCGTGTGATTCACTGTCTCTGAAAATCTGCTGGAGGGTGAGCTATGGGTCTGTTCCAACTCGACAGTGCACAACAACAACCACCGCCACTTTGAGATTGAGTCCACCCTTCCCTTGTTTCACGCAAGCAGAAATTATAGGTATGAAAATAATATTTCATGTCCTCATTTTAAAATTTTCACTTTGATAAATAATTGTGACTTAAAGCATGTAAATAGGCTATTTTGCTTACTTCTTTTTAAGCTATTTCCGGTGTGTTTTATACTTGGATTCCCTTTTATGGCTATTTTCTTCTAAGATTTTTGTATCAGTTATTTAGGACTGTTGTTGTTGCTGTTAGGTGCGTCACTCATAGCAACATTATGAACGACCGATCTGAACTCTGTCCTGTCCTGCACCGTCCTTATCATCCCTGACACACTTGGGCCCATTGCCATGGTCACTGTATCAATCCATCTCATGAAGGGTCTTCTCTTTTTTTGGCCCTCTACCTTTCCGATTATGATGTCCCTCTTCAAGAACAGCCTCTCCTACCAACATGCTCGAAGTATGACAGACATAGCTTCATCCTTGCCTCCAGTTGCACTTTTTCCAAGACATAGCTGTTTGTTATTTTGGTAGTCTAGGGTATATTCAATAGTACTTTCCAATACTACAACTCAAAGGCATCAATTCTTCTGTCATTCTTATTCTTTGTCCAGGGTCCAGATGCATAGCAAGTGATTGGGAAGACAATGACTTGACCCAGGTGTACCTTAGTCTTTAAACTGACATTATTGCTCTTTAGGACTTAGGAGAGGTCCCTGACAGCAGACTTTCTCAATGCTATACTTCTCTTGATCTCCTGACTTCTGGTACCAAGGGTGTTGGTTGTCGAGCCAAACAAGATGAAGTCTTTGACAACTTCAACTTTTTCTTTTTATATTATGATGCTACCCTATTGGGTCAGTGGTGAGAACTTTTATTAATAATTAAGTAATTATTGCCCCAAAGCATATGACAAATAAGTATTTAAGATGGAAAACAAACTCTGGTCTATCTGATGCTGAATCCGGAGACTTTTTTGTTGTTGTTATGTCAGAATCAACTCATAGCTGACTTTCCAGTGAGTTTTTAGAGGCTGTGCATCACACGGGGAAGACTGTCCATCTTCTTCCACTGAGCAACTGGTATATTCAAATTGCCCGCCTTTAGGTTGGCAGGGCAACTCTACCCACTAGGTTTACCAGAGCTCCCTAACTACAACTACAATTTTAACTACAATTCTTCCTTTAATGTCTTACTAATTTATCCTTCAATAGTCACTCAATTTAAGTGAATGTGTGTGTGTGTGTGTGTGTGTGTGTGTGTGTGTGTGCGTACACATTATGTATTGACCTCCTGTCAGAAGTCTTTGCCATTGCTTCTGGTAATAATAAACTCTCATTTCTCTATTTTCTCAAAACACCCGAGTCTTAGTTGATTATCATGCAATTTGTTGAACAATTTCCGAGCTCCCTAAGTAGCACTAAGCACCTTGAGATAGTGAATATCTTCATTCTTTTTGGCCTACAAAGCTTACCATAACCCCTGCTACATGCAAGTAATGATTAAATTGAATAGAACATCAGTAGAAAATTGTTAAAATATTTTCCGTACCTCTTAACTCCAGGGGAAAGTAGCGTATTGGGGTTTTGTTTGTTTACTTTGATTTGATTTTGTCTATCTGGGTTCATGCTTCCTGCCAAAATATTAGCGTAGCATTAGGGTAGGATAAATATTCAAAATTGTGAGTTATTAAATAGACAGAATAGGAGAGTGGACTCTGCCTTAATTTTACTATCCTCTCTCCCTTTATTTTTCCTCAGCCTGAGGTATATACAGGTTTTAGCTGATTCTGGTTGCCTGGTAGATGGGACCAGGCTCAGGAAATGAAGTATTAAGTGGAGGCAACAAAGAGAGGGAGAAACATAGGACTAGAAGGAGAAAAATGCTTCAGCTCTGCATGACTTTGGCTTACCTTGAATTCTTCTACCTATTTATCATGTGATTTTGTTTCTCATATAAATACACATTTTTATGTCTCTGCAACAGGTGTGAAGAGGTTAATAAATTTTAGAAATGATCAGTCTAGGTCATCTAGCAGTTCAGGAGCTCTCCATGACAGCACAAACAGAGGGTCAGTCCAGCTCATCCTGTGGAGAATCACTGTGTGACTAGGATTACAAGACCTGCCTCAGCCAGCCCAGGAATCACTACTGGACAAAGCTCGGGATAATATTCCACCTCCTCAACTCCAATTGTTATCAACTTTACAAATAATGACCCTGGTAAATGCCTTTATGGATATATTCTCGTGTTTCATTCTTTCACCTGGATACATTTTTAGGATTTTGGGTTTTTACTGATAGCTCTCCATCCAGCGAGGTTCTATTACCATCTCCTACCAGCAGCACTTTATTTATCCAGGGCTCTTAGCCTTTGTCTCAGGCCTAAATTCTTTACTTTAACAGACACAATAGTCTACAATCTAAAGAATTTTCTGAGTCTTCATGGCCTTCAATATTGCACACTATGTCATTTGCAAAATCTGGACCGTGTTCCAGAAAAGTGTCTCACTGTCAGCAATATTGATTTTAGGGACTATGGTTCTTTGTTATGGAAAGATGTCCTCTGCATTCAAGAATGATTAACCCCATCCCGGGCCTCTCTGCACCCGAGGCCAGTTGCATTTTCTTATCAGTTGTTATAGCCAAAAGTGTCACAAGTTCCCCATGTGGAAACATTCACCCCAGTATAAAGAGCGTATTTAAAAAAAATCATTCATTGTGCATTTCCTTAACAGATACTTCAACAAGATTGATATATATGTATATATGCATTTTCTGTGATTTTTTATGCAAATAACATGTACTTTCTGTGTTTGCTCACCAACTGCTCCTTCCCACCAAGGTATTTTCATAATTAATGCCATACCTATTTTGTATTTTACAAATTCCTACTTTAAAAAGGTAGGAAGGAAGGAAGGAAGGAGGAAGGGAGGGAGGAAGGGAAGGAGGGAGGGAGGGAGGGAGAGAGAGAGAGAGAAAGAAAGAGAGAGAGAGAGAGAGAGAAA